ATAGCTTAACGTTAGGCAAATTACTGTACATCGTCTACGGTTCGCTCCTGCGGCATGCTTCATGCAATCTACACGAGCTGCTGGAGGAATAGATTGTGCAGTAGCATTCGCCATGGACTCTGACGTTTCCAGAGAGATGGATCACCTCTGGAAATAGCTAGAGAGATCGCTGAGCAAATCTGGCCTGCACAAAATGACTTTCAATTAAAAACACTTTTGGAGCACTTGGCTGTGACACCCCAGCAACAGCGATTAAAGCCTATTTATAAGACCAGAGCCCCGAGCTGCTTGCGAACTGTCGACTATTCCAGGCAATTTTTTGTGCCGCCTCGCCACAGGCTGGAGGGGATGGGGGGGGGGGGGGGGGGGGGGGTTACATGATGCAGTCAGCCGTCAGCGCTGCAGGGGCCACAAAATGCATTGCGACATTTTGTCGCCCATTTTAGTAATTATTTTTACATATTTTTCGTTGCTTTTACATTTTTTTTTTCTATTTTTCCTTTTTTTTTTGAGAAGCTATTGAACTTGGCACAGGGTTGAAATTTTAAAAATAAATTTCAACTCGTAGACGCGGAGGAGAACATGCATAAATTGCATTGCAGTGCAGTGTAGAAGCAGGAAGCAAAAAATGTATCTGCAAGTGCGAGTATCTTGCGAGCGGGCCAAGCGAAAGTGTCGCCTACAAACACATACACATACAAATATATATTATAGAATGGGGTGCACCACATGTATGTATATGCCCATTTGACAGTGTAAATTTAGATAACGCATATAGCAAGACTGGGCAAGCGAGAGGCCATGCGATTACTGCAAAGACAGCCGCATGCAAAATGAGATATTGTATCTGCAAGATAAAAAGCACTTCAGCTGCTGCTGCTGCTGCTGCTGCTGGTGCACAGAGTACCCATTTCTTTTGAACTGCAAAACGTAAAATGCTGCAATTAGACGCCGCCAAAACGGCTTCAAGTGGCATGACTCCAGCTACAGCTACAGCCACAGCCACAGCCGCTGCCGCAGCCGCAGCTTCAGCAACATCTTCAGACGTGTGCTCTTGCCATTTTGGCAAATCAGACTTCAGTCAACCTACACAATGGCAATAGCAATCATATTGCAGCAAGATTTCTGGCCGTCGCCGTCGTCTCGCAATTGTTCTGCTTTTGGCTTTTGGGGCCTTCTCCTCGCTGGGAGACCGCAAAATGAAACTCGTTTTGTGCACACACAGACACGGACACACTCGCACACACACACACACACACACACACACACACACATGCACACTTGGCCAACTCTTGTACATTATTTACCAACTTTGTCTGACGCCTGATTTTTTTGTTTTACTTTTTTTTTTTTTTTTTTGCATTTAGGCTGATTTTGGGCGTCAGTTGAGCTACATATATACTTCTCGTACTTTCGTACTTAGGTGGGCAGACAAGATATGTTGAAGCACGCTCCTCACACACACACACACACACCCAGAGAGAGCGACAGATACTCGTATCTGTATCTCTAAGCACTTGTTCGTGTGGGCAGACGAGGCTGGGCGTAGGATTGGCGTAGACGCCAAATGCGCTTACGGAGAGCTCAAAGCGGACCACCCGTTGCCCAAACTGCATGCGATGGCAACAGCAACAAAAGTAGCGCTTATAGAAAACAGCACTCGTGTGTGTATGTGTGTGTGTGTGTGTGTGTGTGTAAGCTAAATTACAAACGAAAAAAAAATTGAAGAAGCAAGCAATTTTAATTGAGTTAATAATCTTAATGGATTTTTCAAACTTAATTACCAGTTTGTGCTTATTGAGTTGTTGCTGCTGTTATTATTTTTATTTTTAATTTACTTTTTTTGAGCAATTTTCGGCACAATTATTGTTTAAAATAAGAGCAACATAACATTACACTGTTACGACACTGTAAAGACTTTGACAGCGTCTGTTAAGCTACTGTTAAAATCGTGAACAGCATGTTAACAAATGCATTTTCATAAATTTTTTTAAATGAAATATATTATGATATGTGTTGTATATAAAGGTATGCTACTTCTACATTCTATGGATATTTAAAAATGACCTTCGTTTGCACTGCATTATAATATTTCATTGTTTAGTTCGCCTATTGCGTTAGTCAGACATGTGTTCCCCTATTTTAAATATATTTATGGACGCGCTGTGCTCAATTATAGCAAAAATAGCGTACTTTTTTTTCTGCTTGTTTCTTTGTTGCTGTCCATCAATTGTCAGAAAAATCGTAATAATAAAAAGCATTTGTTTTACTATGACGATGATGACGATGCTAATTTATGTAAATTGCACAAATTTTAATTAAACACAAGTTTAAACAAATGTCATGCGAATTGTGGCGAAAGTTTGCAACAAAAGCAACAAAAAAAAAATAAAACAAAAAATAGAAACAATAAAATTTGTAATTCTATTCAGTAGTTTTATGAATGTGTGGGAACTTAGAGCCGCAGGCCCCGGCTGAGTCATAACTCAGACGCGTGAACTTTTTTATCAGCTTGTTTGTGTTCAGAGTCTAGAATCGAAATGCACCCGAAACGCCCGTATGTACATCTATACATTTATATACATAAAAAAACGTAGGTATTTTGTCGCCTGAATAGCGCCGTTTAATATTATAAATAGACTTAGCGATAAGACAGCGACAAGAGTCGCGCAATTATAAATGCGCTTAGAAAAAATCATTTTGTTTATTTGATTAATCAAGCAAATGATTATTTGCCGATTACTGTTATTTAACAGCATGCGGCTTAACAGTGCCGCTAATTGGCAACGCCTGCACAACTTATCCGCCAAGCGGCATTTCAAATAGCTTCTGATAAGAAACAGAAACAGTAAAAAACACAAAAGCCAAATCAAAAGTCGAACAACAAAGCCTTTTGAGCACCCGGTTTTGTTTACAAATTCAGCGCGACTCCGATTGGTGACAGGCTGTCTGTTACGCTAATTGCTGTTGTTATTCTTGTAGTTTTGCTTTATGTTGGAAACAGAAAATAAACAATATAAATTTGTGACGGACACGGCATAAAAGCAGAGCAAAGCGAAATAATATTTATATATTTCAAACAACATGTAAATGGATATAGCTTTGCGTGCGTGCTATCTTTGTTTAGGCAAAATACAACAAAATATGTAATAATAAATAAGAAAAAGACACAAATCATGTTGGTAAATAATATGCAAAAACAAGCGGCGAAAATGAAAACGATGAATTGGTGGTGGGGGAGCAGGAGGGTATGCAGGGTATGCATGAAGAAAGCGTTTTGTTACAGGCGTAAATTATACACACAACGAAACTCCCACAGGAAGTTCGATAGCAGCACAAACAATGCCCAGCAGCAGCAGTAGCAGCAGCAGCGTCGACTGCAGCAACGGCGGCGGCGGTGCAAGACAAAGCACATACAAAAAAAATCATAAAATATTGTATTAGTATATGTCTGTGTGCTTGTATGTGCCATGCAAGCGAAAACCGTATATGACCCAATTAAGTGAACCCAAGCGCTTGTGTAATTATGAAAGCTATGTCTGTGTGTGTGTGTGTGTGTGTGTATAAATGTATATGTGTTTGTGTGCATTGGAGCTGGAATTTGCAACGAAGCGAAAAGGTTGCCACTCTTGCCGAAGTCGTTTCTGTTTATATTGTTGTTGTTAGTGTTGGTCATGCAGATTGCAGACAGCGGCGAGAGCGCCAGCGACAGAGAGCAACTTTGAGGGGAGTTTGGCAGACGCTCTCACACTAACATACACATATACAAGAAATGCATTAAGCCGAATCGTTGACCGCAAGCTCTGCCAGCAGCAAAATATCCAATTGGAACGGAAATCAAATACCGAAGGCAGATACAAAAAATAAAACACGGTAGCAAAAATAACAAAAACCAAGCGGCCAAATGGCGACAATAATATTTTATCTAAGAGGCAAGAGGTCAACAGCATAAAGTGCTGCCACACAAAAGCCGCACTAAAGGAGAGGAAGTGGTATAAGCAAAAAGGCAATAAAAGTAGCAGCAACAACCCTTGGTTTGCCCTTAATTATTTAAAAATGGAGTTTAAAGTACACACAAACACACACAGGCATACAGACTAACGTACGTGCTTGTAGGCACATAATAACCCCACCCAAGAGCAGCTTAATCTTTGGCACCAAAACACCTCACACACACACACACAAAGCACAAGCAAAGCACTTGCATGTCCTGCTGAGTGTGTCAGAACGGAAACGTGTAGACAGGCAAGTTAGAGAGAGAGAGAAAGAGAAAAGGAGCGTAAGCGAGCGATTTAACGGAACACACCCTAGCGCTGACGTTCTAAAAATTGCATTAGCACTTGCAGAGAGAGGGAGCTAAAGGGCAAGAGAGGAGAGCGCGTTATGGGGAATACCGTAAAGAGAGGGACGCCAAATTGCATGCAGACAGCTGTGTGCACAGAAACAAAGAAGTATACCAACAAATTTAATGATTTCTCTTGGCCCAGGTGAGTAGACACATGGCAAGGACAAGCATATAGGGCGGACGATATGGCTACGATAGTGACAACAAAGAGGAAACACGTCGGAAACTGACACACACACGCACAGCAACATACAGGGTGCAGGACAAATGACGAGTGTATAATGACGTTTTTGACAAATACGTAATGTTCCAGAATGACTCATTCAGTTCTACCTAGAGATGGGCGGGGTCCCAACTTTGTCTGTGGCGTGACACGACACTCAAATAATTTTGGGGTTAGTTTTTATAATAGAAATTATCTTCGAATTCTTATTAGAGTGCATGTTTTCCAATTAGCCTGGTTTTATTAGAATTTCGAAATTCAGACTTTCTACAATCATGTGTTGTAATACAAAAAAAAAAAGGAAGATGATATTTTTTGGGGGATTTTAATGTTTTATGTATCTCTAATTTCTGGAGTTTTTTCTCCTGCTTTAAAGCTCTGCTTTGTGAAGTCACGCGACCATCTTTAGTTTAAAATCTACCGTAAGCTTACCTGGGGCGGAGCACCGGCATTGAAATGATTGTCCAAGTCGTCCGACAACAAGAGTGGCTCCTGCTGCTGCTCCTTTGTTTCTTCGACAAGGTGTTTCTCCTCGGTGGAGGAGGACAGAGGTGACGGTGTTATGTCCACAATGTCTGCTTGCTCTGGCTGAAGCTCAAGCGTGGTGGTCGTGGCTGTTGCAGCCGCTTCTTCGTGTTCGGGCGAATCCGGACTGAACATGGGCGCACTGGTGTCCAGCAGCAGACTCTGCTCCTGATCGTGATCCTGTTGAGCGAATGCATCACTGGAGGTGTGCTCCAAATAGAAAGAGGCCTGCATGGGATCGATCAGCTGATGTGGCTGCTGCTGATGCAGCTCCTCAATGGAGGGTGATTGGGAAACAAGCTCCTTCTCCTCCACATTGAGCAGCTCCTTCTCCTTGAGCGGCTCCTCGCCTGGCGTCTGCTGCGGCAACGTTTGCACCGAATTCAATATGTCTTCAATTGGGGCATTCGAGTTGGATTCGCCGTAAATGGATTGCTTCATAATGTCGTCTTGTAGCTGTGTGGGCACAAAGTTGTTATCTTCATGTGACTCCTGCAACTCCAAGCTTGCATCCAAGTCGGCGTCCAAGTCAACGCTGGTCTCCGGACCATGATCGATGCGCTGCTCCAGCTGCTGATAGATCTCGCTGCCATTCTGGAGCTGCTCGGCGGTAGTCAGATCCGCTTCGCCGGGGAACGTGTCATCCTCCTGCTCCAGCTCGTGCGGACGCCTGTCGGCTCCATTGTCGAACTCGCACTCATCCGGCAGCGCAATGGTGTCCATGTTGCAGTCGCGTGCGCCTTTGCGTGGACTCTCAGCGACCAGATCGTCGGCCAACAGTTGGCGCCCCAGCGTCTGCAGTGGCTCGGCAGGTGCCGGCGAAGCTGGCTGCGAGCCAAAGTGTGGCACAAATTCAACAGCATTGGGATTTAGTTGCGAGTGCGGCTCCAGATCCAGCTCCAAATCTAGCCCAGACGGCTCCTGACCAGTTGGATGAACATTCTCCTTGTTATCGAAATGCTCTGCTTGTACATCGCTGGCTAGTTGTTCCGGTTCTTGTTGTTGTTCGCTGAGGCTGCTAGTGCCGTAGGTGGTTGCCACGGAGCTTGGCTCATCCTCCTCATCTGCGTCGGCGTCATCTGGCTGCAGTTGCTCTGCTTTTGGCAGCGACGCCTCCTTTGGCTGCGGCTCCACTTCGCCCGTGGTTGAAGTTGTGGTCGTGTTCGAGTTGCTTGAAAAGTCGCCATCATGCTTAATCACCTCGACGTCCTCTTCTTCTTCGGCAGCTGCAGCAGCAGCAGCTGCTCTGAAGCCGGCTGCGCTGCCAACGCCATTGCCCAGGCTCAAGTCCATGCCGAGCGACATGTATGCGTCGCTGCTGCTGCCAACTGCGACGCCGTTGCCGTTGCCGTTGCCAACACCAATACCAATACCATTGCCAACGCCAACGCCAAAGGCGACGTCGACGTCGGCGTCGCTAAACTTTTCGCCGTAGAAATGATGTTGTTGCTGCTGCTGCTGCTGCTGTTGTTGTTGCTTTTCGCTCTGCTGCACTTCTTTTATGTACTTCCATTCTTCGTCGTCATCGTGCTCACCAGACTTGGGGCCAATGTTGGGCACCAGCTCGGCAGCAACGTCTGCCGCATTGCCGGCGCTGCCAGCGTTTTGCAGACTCTCCGCAAGGCGATTTTGCAAGAAATTGTCGAAGTGCGCATTATCCTCGTGTTCCATTTTGATGCAGCAGCTGCTTTCTAACTTTTGCAATAATCAATTGCTATTGGTGTTTTTTTTTTTCTTCTTGTGTGTTTTTAGTTTTTCGACTTCTCCGTATTTTTTTAAAGATGCCAACCAAAAAAAACTGATGTGATTCAGTTTGTGCTCTCGCTCAGTCGTGATTCACACGCCGCTTCTTGGCTCTTCTATCTTGCGAATTCTCCTTTTGCTCTTGCGCCGCACCGCCTCTTGCATACACACACACACACGACAAAGAGAGAAACACGCACACACTCAAACGAACAGCCGCCAATCACGAAATGCTTCTTCTTTTTGCGCAGTCCTGCTTCCCAAATGTGCTCACAAATTAACTGACTTTTAACGCGCACGCAAACACATTAATTTTAATTTTAACAAACAGTTCAATGTAGTGTAAAGTCTAAACAAATCGCAATTCAAACTTTTCTATATTTTCAGTTATTTTTGAAAATCACTTTGCCCACCGATTCTTGCGCACATACGACCTTCCAGCTTTAAAACAGAATTCACAATGTTGTGCGCGATACAAGAATTCGATATACTAGAGATGGTAGCAGGGTATCGGTTTGGTGTCAGTATGGTGAATATAGATGTTGAATACACAATACTCCAAAATTATCGATAGGTTACTCGATTAATTTTACTTGAATATTCACAAATTTAAGCTCGCTACCAACTTCACTTCAGTTAAAAATTCGTAAATATGTTATCATATTTATTTGGCGGCAGTTTTGATATGCTGGTCTTATATATTAAAAAAAAATTAATGACATCGGTTTTGAACTTAATAAATAACTAAGTCAGACTAAATCTGCTACAACTAATTAAATTAAGCACAACTATGAATTAAATTTAGTTGAGATTTTAGCGCTTGATAATTCAACATTGTAGCTCGTAGCCATGAGTCCTTCACGCTGAAGCGTTGAAACGGTTTGCTATTGCTTAAGTAATTCTTATAATACTTATCGTATATCATTTTAATAACAGCATTTTGTACAGTAGTAGATTGACGCTTCATGTCGCTCCACCCGTGGCTACGCCATTCAGAATCTCCGGATAAACAACTCATGTGATCGCTGATAAAATCACCGTCGTCCCACCAAGGCGGCACACCGTCAACTTTGATGCATTCTTGTAAACGCTCTTCTTCTTTCTTCTCAAATGCGAAAATCATCTTCATGTACTTGACGCCAACATTACAGCCTGATCCTGGTGGCAGGCCTAGTGCTGCTGCAATATCATCCCACTCATCCACATCCAGGGCTCCTCCTCGAGCTTTCACCAGAGCGTACAATCTAATAAGGGGCATTTAATCAATTAATATGCATATTTCTGCATTTATACATACTACATACTTGAACAGATTCACGCTGCGCTCTAGTATCTTACATTCGGCCTTTAGGCCACTTCGCTTAAGGAAATTTCTCTCCTGCTGCTGCGGCGTGCTCCAGAACCAAAGCGATGAATCTGCGGATTGAGCCAGTGGCTGTTGCACAGTCTGCTCCAGCTTTGGATTTGGCTCTAAATTGAACATGGTCTTCTTTGTAGAAGGCAGCTCATTCTGTTGATCTGCTTGTTGGCTAGCTGCAACCTGCTGCTGTGTTTTTACCGTCGCTTCTGTATGCTTTTTATTTATATGTCGCATTAAATTGTGTAGGGATCCAGCGGCATATGTGCAGTGCGGACACGGCTGGCACTGCGATATTGGTACCTTGCCCTTGTCATGATTCCGTTCATGCCGCTCTAGGTTATACGCCCTGTTGGTAGTGTATCTGCAGCCTCTTCTGCTGCAGTGCAGATGCTCTCGCGGATTGTTCATTTCGAACAATGTTTACATATTTGGCATACCATCTGCGTGCCGCTTGCCAACCATCGTTTAGTAAATAAACACATATATCGATATATTGTTTTATGTGAAGGATGCGATAAATTGATTTCATGCCATGCATTCGCATTAACATTTTGTATTATTCAATTTTATATATGAAGTAAGGAAAGTAAATGGATTGTGGTTAACTAATTTAGAATAATTTTTTTTATTGTATAACAAATGTGTTAATTTTAGATTATTTTTAGTTGATGTTCACTTGCGGTAACGTTTATCGATTCTTTTTCGATTATTACAGGCGCAATCTTTTAATGCGACCAGTGCGAATTACATATTTGTATTGAATTACTCATAACTAACACACCGGCATAAATAACTGAATCCAGACGAACTGCAAACGTATCACACCTGTGGGCAAAGTGCGTTTTAACAAGTTAATCAATAGAGTAAGTTAGGTGAGTTTCTCGTAATTTCGATGTTCGCTGAACAAATCAATCACAGTAGTTCAAAGTTCTTACTCTCAGCAACATCGAGCGCATAATTCTGATAACGAATTATTCCTGCTAACGGGCACATACCAGACTTGTGACGTCTACACTGACCTTGAACGCAGAATGGAAACTGAACGCTTGGACGTGATAATATTTGGAGCCACAGGCTTCACTGGCAAATACACGGTGTACGAGGCGGTGTCCGTGCTCAAGGATCTGCGATGGGGCATAGCCGGACGCAATCGAGAGAAACTGCAGGCGGTGCTCAAGGAGATGGGCGCTAAGGCCAAAAAGGATTTATCGCAGACACCCATCATTATTGCCGATGTCAACGATGAGGACTCGTTGCTAAACATGGCCAAAGCCTGCCGCATTGTCGTCAATACCACAGGCCCATATCGATTCTACGGCGAAAATGTGGTCCGTGCTTGCATCAATGCCGGCACCCATCACGTGGATGTCAGTGGTGAGCCCCAGTACATGGAAACGATGCAACTGAAATACAATGAGCTGGCCAAAGAGCGCGGCGTGTATGTGATCAGTGCTTGCGGCTTCGATTCCATACCGGCCGATATGGGCATCGTTTTTGTGGAGAAGAATTTCGATGGCGTCGTTAATTCCGTGGAGACCTTTTTGGTAAATGGTGTAAAAGACGCGGATGCCTCCTGTGGCAAGGCTGGTCTCAATACAGGCACCTGGGAGAGCGCTGTTTATGGGCTGGCGCACTCGGACGAGCTGCGTGGCATTCGACAGAAATTGTACCCGGAGCGTCTGCCAAAGTTCTTTCCCATACTGAAGCATCGCCCGTTGATGTTCCGTTCCACGGAGGTTAACAAAGTTTGCCTGCCTTTTCCGGGCTCCGATCGTTCGGTGGTCATGCGCTCCCAGCGCTTTCTGTACGAACACGACAAGAAACGACCGGTACAAATGCATGCCTACATTGGTTTCCCCTCATGGATTTCAGCAATTGTTGTTGCTCTCTTCGCGACCTTCTTTGGCCTAATGGCCAAATTTCAGTTCGGCCGCAGCTTGTTACTCAAGTATCCTGGCTTCTTTTCAGCCGGCTTTGTGTCGCACGATGGACCCAGTGAAGCACGCATGGAACGCACCTACTTTAAAATGACCATGAAGGCGACTGGTTGGCCCAGCTCGCAGCGTCTAGCCGAGGGCACGGATCAGTACAAAGATCCGCCAACCAAAACTCTCATGGTTAGAGTTTCGGGACCGAATCCTGGCTACGGTTCGACATGTGTTGCCCTACTCTCCACAGCTGTTACCATACTGCGAGAGAGCAACAAAATGCCGGGCACTGGCGGTGTACTCCCGCCTGGCGCAGCATTTTCCAAAACCAGCCTTATTAGCGAGCTGGAAAAGCATGAGCATGGCATGAAATTTGAAATTCTGGCCAACAAATGAATGGCGCCGGGTGTAGTTGTAACTTACAATTGTTGTATTCGCAAATAAAAATTACTAACTGGTGGCTTGTTTAAAAGAATATATATCAAATTTACCTGTTTGCAATCGCATTAGAAATTCGATCTTGGGAGCCAATTATCTTGCGAACCAGAATTACAATCGATTACGCATATCGATAGTATCGATTGTTTGCTGCCCAAACGCATTGCGATGCGACAGGCTGGCAACGCTGTTATGGTCGCTGTTTTTGTTTACCTGTTCGTGTGCTGAGCTCGACAATTTATTACCATTTTGGCCGTCAACATAAAAGCTATAATTAAATAATGAGCGCCGAAATATCTGGCTTTCGGCGTTTTCTACACTGGGGTCCAATAACCGCGCTGAGTAAGTTAAGCCGAACGCTTCAAATCGAATGCATGTGTAGCATACGCCCAAAGGAGTCTTAATCATAGTTAATCCCATTTCTGCTTATCTAAGTCTAATAAGAACGGACCAGTTTACGACATTTGCAAATTATTAAGTGCACACACAAAGTGAATGAACTGCAGCAAAAGAGAACCAGCAATTGGCCACTAACAAGTGTGCCACGCTAAGTTCCATCCCCCACCCACACACACGCTGCGGAATTCTTGTGTTTTGTCTGCAACGTAATATTGTGTTTCATATTCCGTGGCGGTCAACGCCGACGCTGGCGCCATTGAGCCGGCGCCCATCGTCAGTTGGATGGACGCATTCTTAAGGAGTGGCTCGTCATTTAATTCCCATAAAATGCTGCGCTAATTGCATTTTAGTTGCTGCTTGAATAAATTATTCCAATACTAATTAAGTACCGCGAATTAAACGTGGTCCGGCCGCAAATTGCGTGCAATTTGACTATTCAGGCCCATCTGGGCAGACGGTAATATGACCATAAAGCATCCGGTTCATGTTGTGGCAACCTTGATATTGAACTGCGATATTATTGTACATAGCTTAATTACTGAATTTGGCGCCGCTTGTTGCTGCACCCTCCCCTCGCCACTGTCGTAGGAGAAGGGATGGACAACGATGGCTATGCCTCTCTCGGCCGGGCTCGGCTTGCCTGCGTTAACCAAGTCAGTTAAAATACAATTGCCACCCTTGTGTTAACGCTTAATCAAGACGCGACATAAAAAAAATATACAAATAAATGTATTTCATTTCCGTGGCACGCAAAGAACCCTCCAAACAGTAACCCAACACCACTTGACGGACAAACGGCGTAC